TTTATGTTATATCATTAAATTAGTTGCTATATATAATAATACGGTCTAAAAAAACAGAAAGAATTAATTAGAAGTGTTCATATTTGATCCAATCAGATTGATTTGATCAGAATCCAATAAAAAATCAAACCAATATGATAAAAAATTAGGTTGATTTGAATTATAAAATTTTAAAATTGATAAAATTGATTTAGTTTGTGGTTTTAATTTCAAACCCTCTGAATCACTTGATTACAAAATAAAATCTAATTATAAGATAATTTAATTCAATAATATAATATTTTTTTGTAGTATTTTAAATTTTTTTTACAAGATAATAATTCTATTAACTTAATTAAAAACATAAAATTATAACATCCCCATATTCCCTAATTTATTTTTTCTTTTTAATCATACACTCTAATCCTAATTTTAAAATAATATTCTAATTTTCTTGACTAAGTTTTTAAGAAGTATTATTCTAGAAGTTTTAAAACTATATAATAGAATTAGTCTTGATATTTTACTATTTTTAAATGTTGGTTGAGGAGTTTTAAATTTTGATTATGAATGCTTTTAATCAATTTTAATGATATTCATGTTCAATTTTATTCGTTTTTAATAAGGTTTGAAAGATAGAAATTGAATCATTTGATACATTAAGTAAAAAAAAAAATATATTTAACCTTTAATAATTACTTGCATTATGTTAAAAACTTGGAGTTATCTTTTAAGCAAAATACCCAAATCCACTCTCAAAATATAGTGGTAGGGATGGATCTACCCCTAAATAAAAAACATGGACAAATCCACCGAACAAAGTTCTTGACTTTAACAAATCACTCCAAATTTAACGTGTGACATCATTTGACGTCAACAATCCATTAATTTGTTATGTCGCTAATAACAGATTGCTGACGTCAGATAACGTCAAATTAACGGATTACTGACATAAGATATTAACGGATTACTGACATCAGATGACTTCACACGTTAAATTTGAGGTGATTTGTCTAGATCAAAAACTTTGTGGGTGAATTTGTCCCCATTTTTTGTTCAGAGTGGATCTGTCCCTACCACTATATTTTGGGGGTGGATTTGGATATTTTACCTATCTTTTATCGCCTTTAGTGCTTTTCATGATATAGTCAA